CTTGCAGAGGCAAGTTTTGGTGTTCGTATTTCCGATTAGGAGCATTCAGCAAAGCTGAAACTTTCACAATAAACCACTCTCATTGAGACCTCTCTCTATACAAAGTTTCAAGTCGAAATTTGCAAATGCGTTTTTCTCATGTTTCTGAGGGGAACCACGGTAGTGAGTTATTCCAATACCTTAAAAACGTAATATCTCAACAACAACATGCTATGGGCACAAACCCTTTTGGGACTCTTACCTACACCATGAGTCCTACCTATAGCCAACATATGAGTCCAAACCGAGAGTATCACTTGAGAAGGTTCCCTTGTAAGAGCTCTTGTATTTCGAAACACTGACTCACATAACTGTGAGTTAAAAACATAAATATTTAATGCCTATTTTCGCAGTTAGTTTTCTTTTTCCAAGTATTAATAAATATAGTAACATTTTTTGCACGGATCTCTACTCAAATACAAAATACTCTCATTATAAAATACTTTTCTTTCTTTTTTGTTTAACGTTGTTGTCATTTTAATTTCATTTATTACACTCATATATTGTAACCATGCTCACCAGAGACAATGCACGAATACTGTACACTATGAAATTTCCAATCCTATATCAAAAACATAAAATACTGGTTCCATAAACTATGATGTACACAATACCCTTTATATCATTTCTCAAACAATCTTTGCTCTAGTTAAAAACTTAAGTGACCAAAGAATATCCATATTCTCTGCAAAATACAGGACAATGGTATCTTAGCGTTCGAGAAAAATGCTGTGTTTCGTCTTTACTCATTTGAATCGAGTCCATAATATGTTTATTTGACCAAGGTTAATCTATGCAAAACATTTTTTTTATCCTAAGCTATTTTCAAGCTGCTTACAATAGTTTGAATTTGAAGAAATTAAATTTTTAAAAGCACTTTTGAGTCGTGTAACCATGTCCAAGCAATTGTAAATAGAGATGTAAGGCGTTCGGAGTTAGCTGCCACTACCAAACTCTAGCAGTCGACTTGTAATATGTTGTTAAATTTATTAAGTCTGTTCAAGTGCATTTCGATATAACAAATGTTTACATTTGAACGAAAACGAGTTCAAACATACTAAAGTATAATATCGAAATCATTTGAAATTCTCTATTCATGTTGTTATACAATGTCCATTTCGTTTAGTACAATCAACATAATCAATAATTCATGTCATCTAACCAACCAAAAGTATCTATTGTTCTTGATAAAAAGAAGACAATGGTGAAATAGATTTATCAACTATTTGATTATATGTTTTACATTTGAGATGATCTATTACATTGGTATCAATCCAAACAAAGTTTTTACACAGTAGATTATTTCTATATCAAGAATCAAATGACTATCGAATTGATAAACAAAATGATGGAATAAAAAACACTGGAGCCTAATAAACTGTTACTCCATTTTTGAAAAGTTATTATGTGAAATATAATAATGCTATTGTAGTCTTGAACGAAATGTTTTATCACTGTTTTTTGTGCTTGACTTAACTCTTCGTTGATGTCCTCACTTTGAAACTTCATTGCTGGTAATGCAGAGTTCAGTTGAAATCGATTCAAAACGTCCTACGACATATCCTAATACGAATTGAGAAGTATCTTTCTTAACAATTTAGAAGCAAGCATGTGAGATGCTACATATTAGATCAATGATGTGTGTAGCAATAGTGGACAGTATTTATAGGTAATCTGCCCGTGTCATGATAGATCTGGTTGCTTGAAGTTGATCAATTCATCTAATCAAACTCAATACAATCATGTTGTAGAGTAATGTCGATAGCATATAAAAATGTATATTATTAATATATTCATAGTTTTTCTTACAAAATCAAATGCTGTTAAAGAGATATATCTTAGAAATGGTAAAAAACCAATGTTTATATTATAGAATTTTCTTTTCTAATTTATCATATTAATAAACGTGCCTTTTTAAAAATTGTTCACATCATATAATGATACTTTTATTTGGGTACTTAATTATGACTAGTGAACAAAATGTTATCGCTTCTTAAGAAAGTTATTTACGTTGGCAAAGTAACATATTGCCGAACATGATTCCGTCGAGAAAATTTTTTTATAATTTATTTTATTGCCAAAGGTAAGTTATTTTTATTTTAGAAAGTAGCACTCTAAATATTCTTTTTGTTGTACTCTATCCAATGAACTTAAAGACCTTTTTACTGATATTTAAGTTGGTCAACAGGATCATCTTCAAATGTTAGATTAGTTTCACTGAAATATTGAAATATTACTTTTCTCCAAGATTATTATCTAAAACAGCTCTTAGAATGTAAAGAAATTGTGTTAGAGGTCAACTTGTTAAATCGAGAGTTGAACAATAGTAGTTCAAAGTTATATTTATTTTCTGATTGCTGCTTTTTCATGCATCATATCAGATCGTTCATATTGAGAAAATATATCGAACTTTTTTTAAAGAAATAAACAGTGATTGAAACATCATCAATTCTTGAACCATGATTCTGTCACGATCCTCATCTCTTCTTCAAAATAGAATGTTTTATATCTCCAAATTTTTCTTTTTTATTCTATAAGTCAATTATAACTTCTTGGTACAATTGACATGAAAAACTGAAAGTAGATCTAAACAATTTCTGAGTAATATATTTTATTTTAGTCTATATCTGTGTTTTAGTGCTAGAAGTTTCGTAAAATTTCACTGAACATCAAGAGAACTATATGTTGTACAGTTTAACTTGTGCTTAATTCAATAATAGAATTGACATTACTCTTTGAAAATATTCGACTCATTTTTCAGCTATATATGGAGGACAAGAAGTTAGAAAACAAAACAACAAAAAAATTAGAATTTATTTGTTGTATCCTTTTCATTTAAATTTTATCCGATAAAGAGATTCTTGAATGGATGCGACTGGTAATATCTGCTGGAAAGAGCACTCTACAAAGTGAATATAATGACTTGTTTTTCAGAAAGTCCTGTTATCTTTTTTTCGTACCAAAGCTGGTAAGAGAGAACTTTTCTTATTAGTTTCTTACTAAAAGAATTTTCTTTCTTTTCATATAATCTGCGTATCGTCATTTCTATCACAGACAGAACTAGAATTAATTTTTGTCACTACAAGACAACATAGAAATGTGTGTCAAATATTGTGAACGTCGGATAAAGAAACGGAGACTAAATAAAATTTAAATTACTTATATATTTTGATAGAGTGTCAAATGCTGTACAAACTAAACTAATTACATCCTTTTCCTCTTGCTTTTTCATAGTCGACAAATTTCCTTTTCTTTGCATGTGTCAACAAAAAATGACTTTTTTTTTGTAATGTATCTCTTATAACTCAACGACAGTATGAACTAAAATGCTAACAATTTGTGTGGTAATATGGTGTTCGAACAGGTATAGTATAGAAAAAAAAAAAAGGTCTTCAAATCGGTCGAGCGAAACAGAAGCTCTTAGCTTAATACAACTAAAATTTTAATCGTACCAAAAAGTTGCAAAATACTCATATATAGTACATTGTGAGGGCTGCAATTTTTCTATAGAAATTCTTTTCAATTCTTTGTGCGGCACACAAAGTGGAGGTACATGTTTTTGGCAATTTTCTCACCAGCCTGGATTTCAATCATCATCGAACAGGTGTGAGAGCTTAGCAAATAATGTAACTTTCAAAATGTTTCTTACAATCCGACTTGAATATTTCCTAAAAATTTTTAATCTATCCACCTTTATTTCATGAGAGTATTGAAAAGATAAAATGCAATTCCGTCATGCTTGAACAAATTGTAGAAGTAGATAAATTACAAAACTTTCAATCTATAATTGAGTCGTTGATTACTTTCCAAGTTTCCTAGAATGATATATTTGAATTTTTTCAAAAAACAAAATCACACCATATAAACAATTGAACATCTTGTCAACATATGTCACTAATCATATCACCGTCTGAGAAGAAAAAACAACAAACGGTACCATCGTTTAATTGAGAAGCACTATGATTCTCTCACCTTTCATATGCAAACATTTACAGTGTTTTACGTCGTTAAGAGCTTTTTCTTATTTCATCACACATAAGATGCCAATACTCGACCACACTGTATACATTAATGCGAGAATGAAGAAAAAAAAAGAAATGCAGAGCATTGTGTCTATGTGTGTGTGTGTTTGTGCATGTGTTGAGAAATAAATCAAAATTTAAAGTAGCAACGAGCAATAGAAGAAAAGAAAATTTTCATTTAACTTAACAACATCTCTGTGTCACCTTAATCAAATCATTTAAGCTGTATTCATTTTTAAGTATTCAATCGAAAATTCATCATGGCTGATCGTCGATTTACAATTCAAGCTGAACCTCGTGGTATGAATACTATGAAAACAGCAGTACCAATGACTGCTGTACGTGATGATATACAAGCACCACTTACTGGTGTTGGTCCATCATCAGCTAATGCAGCAGCAACAACAACAACAACTGTTCCTGAACGTCGTCCATCTCAAGCATTTTTTCGACGATTATCAATGTCTATGGGTAATGGTCGAAAATCATCAATGTTTCTTTCACCGAATCAACCTCGACCAAATACATATCGTATGGAACCAGATAATGAATATCGTTTTCGTCCATATAAACTTCAAGCTAAAATACTTGAAGTATTAGTTGAACAAATGAAAGATCAAACATATAATCCCACAACTGTAAACGAACTTGTTAAAAGTGTTTCACGTAGTGTTCATCAATTAATGAAAAATTTTCAATTACCACGATATAAAATTGTTATTCAAACTGTTATTGTACAAAAATTTGATCAAGTTTTACGTATTGGATCACGTTGTTTATGGGATCAAAAAACAGATAATATGCTATCAGTTAATTATGAAACGAAAGATATGATTGCTGTTGTTACTATTCATGCAATATATTTTGAGTAAATTATAGACACTTGATTTTACTTATATGACAATTCAATGAAAGATATTTCTATAAGATCATTTTGATCTAATCAAAGTTTAGGCATCTTGTGCCATGTTTTATGAACATATGCATATTGAGCTTAAATTTATTTTTAATAAAAAAAAACAAAAAAAAGAAATTTTTTTCTTCAAATAAATTCTAAGCGGAAATGATTGAAGACAATTGGAAAACTATAAGAATGTATGATAAAACGTTTCATACCTCTCGACTAATGAGATGAATATATGCAATAAATTGAAGGCATGTACTATGAAATGAAAAAAAAACATGCATATCGAAGTATGCTGTATAAATACACGTAATATTCTATTTTAATATATTTTATGAAACTCTTTATGACTTTTACATTAAAGTGTTGCAGTGTGAAAAGTTTTATAATTTTTCTATTGAGAAAGCAATATTATGAAATAATTAAGTACAACAAAACAATGATGTTGTGAAATAATTATTCAATACAATGAGTCAAAACATTTAAACATTGACTAGGAGATATAAATACCAGTCAGCTAACTCATGACCGACTTGACAAAAAAAAAATAAATTCTAGAAGTTTAGAAAACTTTGACTGTTACGATTGTTTTTTATTTAAGAATGTCTTTGTCTAGTTTTTACCTACGTATTTCTGTTTCCTATTTCAAAAGTTTTTGAAATTAGACAAAAAACTACAGTGGGCGTCATAAGTGGTCGTCCCACTTTTGTATTTTGAGTCGTCCATTTGAACTAAACAATGTTGATTTAATTTGATTATATATTCTTGTAGCGGAGATCGAGTACTATCTGTATACACCTGTTCCATACGAAAAACTCTCGGAATATAAAATAAAATAGGCAAAACCCAGTCAGACAAAAATTTTGAAAAACGCGTTTAAACGCACAATCGGGAACCCG